CCACCAACCCCCCCACAACATCAAATCCGCACTGTATGAAAACGTAACTAAATTATTTAAAATTAATTTGCACTTTAACTTCCGAAACAATTTTTCAAATCCCATTGCCCGTGAAAATAGATGTTCAGATCCGCCGTTTAATTAAGGCAGAGTCTCTGGCAGGGAAATAAAACCCCGAACGTCCCATTTTAATCTTTGCTGCAAATGTAGCTAAGGCAGAGCCCGGCTCTGCTCCTGCCGAGGCGGCTCTCACCTCGCCTATAGCAGAGTATGGTGGATTTTATAGTGTTTTATCTGCATATAGTTAAATCTTCTTGCTGTTCTAACTAATCTGCTGGAGAGGGTTTCTTTAGCTCTTTCCTGTCAGTCTAACTTCCCAAGTGTAACAGATGCCGCTCTCAAGCGGTCCTTTCTGCTGCTTTTCTTTATTCAGCCTCGCATTTTTCTCCCCATGATCTGGGTTTCCATAGAGAGAGGAATAAAAGGGGGACCATGGCCACAAATCCCCTGCCCCATGCAGAATAAAAGAGCCTTATTCAATAGCCGACCCCGTCTGGACATGGGAGAAAAATAAGTACATGCAAAGCTACTGTTGCAAGAATTTGTAACTTATTTTTCATAGACCGAAACCCAATAAAGTTTTTTTTTATTAAAAAAAAAATTTTAAAAAAACTTTTTGGGTTCGGACTGTGCGCTGGAGCCCTTTGGCTCTGCGTGCCCTCACCCCGGAGGGACCCGCGTTTCCTCCGCAAATAACTCGCTTTAATATCTATTTTTTCTGCTAAATCTTTGGCGTGAAAAAGCTCGCACAATAGCTGGAGGCAGCCACCGTCCTGGGGCAGCGAGAAGTCGCTATGGAGAGCGCCCCGCTTTGAAGTGCGGGAGCCGGGATTGTGTGGAGTCCCCCTGGCACAGGCGGCTCCGGGGCTTTCTGGGGTCACCCGGCTGCGTGGCTCGGCCGTCGCCGTCCCCTCGGTGGCACCGGCGGTGTCACCCACGCGTGGGGCAGGGCTGGCCCTCCCCGCTGCAGCCCCACACATTCCCCTTTAAGAGCTCCTGTCGGGATGCGCTCGCCTTCCCCACCGGCTCCACGGGCTGGAGGTTGGGACCTGAACCCACCAACGCGTTTATTATCGTGACAGAGCTGATTTTATTATATTTAAGAGATTTTTTTTTTCCCCCTTCCCCCCCCCCCCCTCCTCTCATTGTTCACCCGCGGGAGGGGAAGGAGAGAGAAAGGGAAAAAAAAAAAAAAAGGTCTAAAAGGGGTTCGTTTTGATTGTGTTTAATACAGCATGAAGCTCGGAGCGGTAAGCTGTGCCTCGGTGTCGTGACCTCTATATTGAAAACTTCACCTTCAACACAAGTTCACTTTAGAGACAGGACGAGTTAGATTGCGCTTGGTGGGAACAAGTGCAAATTTAAAAACAGAGTCAATCATAACGGGGGTGGGGGCTGGGAAAGGGCAATTTAACCGTTTCTGGAGCCAGGAGTTAAGGTTTGCATTGTGTACATCCAGGCGCTGGGGCTCCTGCTGGAGCCCAGCCGCCCATCAGTGCTGAGAAAGCGGCTCCTGGAGCTCCGGAGAGGCTTTGGGAACACCTAACCAGCGTGGGGGAAGCTTAGGAAGCAAAAAGGAATTTACAGAGTATTAGCAGAAATTAGCCAATACCGACACAAGCTCAATTAGTTCCTTTTTTTTTTTTTTTTTTTTTTTGGTCTCTGTTGGCTGCTCTTGAACGTGAGTAAATGCTGTGCAGGGAGAGAGGAGGGAGAGAGCCACACTGCCATCTCCGAGCCACAGCCAGGAGATGGACTGACAGATTGCAAATTAAACTAGTCCTAATATAAGAATGAATGCAGCCCCCCCCCCCAAATCTCTCCCAGCACCAGCCCGGCAGCAAAGAGCCCGGCACGGAGGGAGCGTGGCTGCGGCTGGGCTGGTCCAGGGAGGGACAATAAAGCCAATCCCGGGCAGGAAAAAATCACAAGGTAAATAGTATTTGTATTCTAACTGCTGCGATTTCCGAAGCGGTTTGGGCGACTCTTTGCTCCTCTGTTCGAATCGCCTGTTATTGTTATTATTACTATTATTGTTATTAATATCCTTTTCTTTCCACGTTGTTGATATTTGAAAAATGTACTTGCTGCGGGGAAAAAAATGTCGTTCATTTGTTCACTACACCGTCATGTTCAGGTCACTGTTATTTTTGAGCTGGGTCGATTTTAGGAGGTCTTGTCTCGAACATTTGGTTGACGGAGCAAAAAAAAAAAAAAAAAAAAATCGTAAATATTGCGGGAAGTCTCTCCAAAGTGCACATTTTTGCTCCGGGACCGGTCTCGCCGTCTGTGAAATCCACGAATTGGGGGTTGTTGTGTTTGGAGGAGAAGTGTGGATGGGGAGAGGCGGCGGGGAAGGGGCTGCGGCCCCGCTCCCGTCTCCTGCTCGGGCGGTGCGTGGCAGCTCCTGAGGTCACGGCAGGAGTTAATAGACCCCACAACAATGCCGATCCCTTCCCTTTTACGTAGGCACTTTCCTCACCGTGCCATTCAAACAGGCGTGATGACAAGAACGCGCTGGTTTCATCCCGGACCGAAATCCCGTGGTTTTTTGGTTGTTGGTTGTGTTTTGTTGTTTTGTTTTGCTTCTTTTTTTTTTTTTTTTTTTTTTTCCTGTGAACCTTCTCCCAGCAAACGGGGGCATGAGGTCAGAGATGGGCACCCCCAGCTCCTGCCACCCCAGAGGCCATCCCGCCTGTTCTTTAGAAATAATCCAAATACAATCCCCGAACGGACAGATTTCTGCTCAGACATATTTAAAGGAGAATGGGTTGGATTTGAGCACGCACTAACTGGCTCGCTAGTTAACCTCTGTTGACTAATGAGACATTGAAGACAAATCGCTCTGTTCCTTGGATGACAAATACCTGCGCTGCTGTTTGGTAGCTTACCGAGCAATTTCCATGTTGGGTTTGGGTTCATGTGTTGTGTTTTCCCTTTCATTTATTTATTTATTATTTATTTAACTATACGCTTTTCCAGCTGTAGCAGTCGGCGTGCAAAGCATCCAGCGATGCTCCTGATCTCGCAGAGGGATTGAAACGCCTCCTGCATTTTGAAGCGCCTCGTCATCCCTAGATTTA